TGACACCTAGAAATTTAGGCAACATGTCATACGATGAGTCACAATTACCAAAAACCATAGCAATGACCTTGTTCCTCACAGTCTAAGTTTTTTCCTTTATATTTTTTTGAATTGTTGACATTTTCATTTGTGGGGTATCACCAACAAGTTTCAGTATATTATGACATATGAAGTTAGAATCTAACTGTCTGTGGTCACAACTAATTCAAGGGTAGAAGCAGTTATGAGGTCCATCATATTTCATGATCTGAAAAATTTTGAGTTTTTTCCTAAAACAAGCACGTAGTCTCCACTTGCAGTTAGTCTATAAAAACATGTTGCACTGTACAGGCCACACCGTTATGTTCGTCTCCACCATGACGTAATCCTCGTTCAACTTGATGGAATGCTATTTAATTGCCCTAATGAATGAAGCTTTATCTTTGAAAACCATACCTTTTGTCAACTCCATCTTTACCGGATCCCACAAATTCAATTCAGCAGGCAGTACTAAGCTATCTGCTTTAGAATACTTACCAAATTCAATATTTGTGAAGAAAAAGGAGTAAGGCTTATGCATCTGAACCTCCTTGCTAGCCTTAGTTTGTTCACAATCCCCATCATCGTCATCCAGCTTATCATTCATTAATTTTTCATACTCTTCTTCTTCTTCTTCTTCTTCTTTATATAAGACTTTTGTACGATCATTCACACACATTTCTTCATATTCTCGGATTGGGCTTTGTTGCATTAGTGATTGATAGACATCATGTTGTTCACCCAATTCAATCCCCTCCTCATCCATTTGAAACTCAGACTCATTGGTTTAGAGTATCCACCATATGTAGTATACCCAAAAACATTGTTGGGTATAAAAGTACTGCCTAGATTCATTCCCACGGGAGTGGAATATTCACCCGTTAAGACGAAAGTTAGAAATGTCGAGTTGCCTATCTCTCGCTTGAGCAACTCAATGTAAGACATGGTAGTGGTGATTAGGCATCCCCTAGTCTAACTACTGCCTATAACAGCATTGATGTCTTCCGTCTCCATGTATAAAGCAACACTAGCCATGCTGGGCTTGTCGACTACCACATTAACCAAAGAACTAACAAGTTCATCATTCCTAATTTCTAGTCTGACATATGTATTTGTGTTTGGTCCTACACTTAGTATAAATGAATATCTACAAGTCAACCTCAACAACTCTGGCAGTTTGGGAGGAGAATCGTAGAATAAACCCTCCAATCCATATTTTATTCGTTCACCCCAATACAACAAAATAGTAACTTGTTTTTTCGCCATTTCAAATAATTTAAGTACTAATTCACAAGAACCAGGGGATGGATAGAAAAGGTTAATACTTGAAGAAAAATAGACCCATAGTTAAGCAAAGTCCCATGGAATTTAACGCATGTGACATACAAGAATTGATAAAATAAGAAACCTTAGAGCTGGAAATGTAGATCTAGCAAGCTAAGAAACCTGGAGATCAAACCAATACTGGAAAGTTTGATAAAATAATTCCCAAAAGAGGGTAGATTTTAACATGTTATTAGGAATTTAATTTGAACTCAAACATGTTATCAAGAAGGCCAACAATGCAACTGATCTTTTTTGCTAACAAGGGAGTAATTGATCAATGTTTATAACTCTACTGCAATTATCAAGACTTTAAAACTCAAGAATAATACTTTCCAACTCTATCGCAATAATCAAGATATTTATTTTGAGGAAAATGATGTTGCTTGATGATTGAGAGACATAACTACGATGCTTACACTGAGAGTGAGAGAGAGAGAGAGAGAGATGGTGTTGCAAAATGATGTCGCTTGGAAATTTATGGAAATTGTATGGAACTTTAAACTTATACCAAATCTCAAAAAATTTATGAAAATTTTAAGTTATGCAATTTAAATTTAAAGTTAATCTTGATTATTATTATATTCTTTTAAATTAAAAATTCAAATTCCTACAAAAATATTAGATAGATTTAATTGAGATTACAAAATAATAAATAAAATTAGAATACTTAATTGAGTCTCACTGGTCTTCAGTAATGTAACCACACCAAAACTCCAAAACCACAACAAAACTCCAACGAATTTACCACTAATCTATGAAAAAAAAATTACAACTAATTTACAACTAATAAAATTTTCAAGCAATAAAATTTAAATCTAATTTACAACTAATTTATGAATAAAATTTACAACTATTTTACAACTAATACAATTTTCAAGCAAAAAATATTAACAAGTAATTTATGAATAAAATGATGCTACAAAGAGTGAGAGAGAGAGAGAGATAGATAGAGAGAAACACAAAGAGTGGGAGAGATAGAGTAAGAGAGACATACTTGGTTGTGATGAGTGTTGGTTGAAGTAGTTAAGGTACTGGTGGAGACAGTGGACGAAGAGTGGTTCCACTAGACTTCACTCAGTTGGGGTCCTGTTGATTGGGGGTTTCAGATTGAAGGGTGGTGGAGGTGATTGAGTTTCAATTGAAGGGTGGGTTGGGTTTGGTGGAGATTTCGCAAGGGTGGTCGAATTTTGGGTTATGGCTTCGAAAGGTAAAGGGGAAAAATGAGGGAGAAGGAAAGAAAAAGAAGGATTTAATTTAACGTTAAAAACATTGGTCCAAATGACCTTTTTTATTAAGACACGTTGGTTCAACTGACACTTTACATTGTAAGCAGAGGTTTAGGTCGTCTTAAAAACGTTATTTCAATTGATGTTTTAGCTATAAAAATATCATTTCAATTGACATTTTTAAAAGTACAAGAGTTTGAGAAATACTTTCAAACTTGTACGATTTTGGGTATAAGTTCCCAAAACTGCTTGATTTTGGGTAAAAGCTCCAAGTGATTAAAGGGGTTGTGGGGGGAGAAGAGAGAGAATAAAGAGAGAAAACAAAGAAGACAATCTTTCTGAACAAGAATGAAATCAAGGTAAGTCATTAAAGGGTACATTGGTAATTAAAAAAAAGGATTAAATTAGATTGAATTAGAGAACAAAAAAGAGCACCTGATACGTCCTTAATGCCTTAAAAGTACTATGCTTGGATTTAACAACTTAAAAAACTACCTAATTAGACTTTTGACTTGAGGAGTTGACAACGGTATGGAAAAAAAAAATTTGGCACCACACCTCCATTTATCACATTTGTGTTTACTTTTACCATGTCTGTGAGTCCTTTTACGAGGACTCAGATCCCCTCCATTACCCCCTCCTTTCAATTTCCCTCAATGGTCCATCCGATGAGCAACATGTCAAAAAAATATTTCAACAAACAAGATTATTTCTAATCAACTGAAGTCCTTAATCGTAGTTAACATTAAACAAATGTGGCAAACCAGCTAATAAACGTTGAAAACAAAGAACCGAATTGAGTTTTGGCACTAAGTTCTCAAAAATATTCGTTTCATTCTATGTACATATCAATTTTTTTACTTATTTTATTCTATCTACGTATCAAACCAAAGCACTACTGCACCGAAATTCAGATCTGTTTGCATTCAGTAGGTTATTCTCCTCTCAATTTCGATAAATTATCCTCATGTATACAGAATATATACACAGATTACCGAACGAGAAGAAGACATGATGATGTATGGTTGAATTATTTGATGCCAAAGAGAACAAATCTTCTTTTCCATTAAACCTGAAACATTAATTATATTTCCTCTTCTACTAATTCATTACATGTCTTGCCTTGCTATTTCTCAAATGGTGTTTCTTGGTCTCCAACTCTTGTTCCTCTGATATAATTTTGTGCTCATGAGTTGTTCGTAAAAAGTCACAAATGGGGGCATTTTGATGAACAACGAAAATTCATTGAAAAGCCCATTGCCGATTATTGCATTAAATAAATACGAAAGCTAAAATATGAGCACTTTAATTGGTTAAAACTAAACACGAGAATTTTATTTCAGTAATAGTTATAATTACTCAAGTTATCAAAAAGACCATACTGCCAAAGGAAAAAAAATGTCAAAACCAATGACTCCTAAATAGTGAAGCCCCATGGTATGATGAAACCAGTAGGGGAAAAGATAAAAACGGATTGCAATGTTGCAAATTTTTGAAAAAAATAATACCAAGAACCATGTCTAACCAACTGCTATGCTAATGGGATAGAGCTGGAAAAAAAAAATGGGCACTTCATGTTTCCCTTGAAATTGCTTAAAATCCACCAGTAATAACATTTTCAGCTTCCTTTGAACAATACATTATGACCCTCATCTGCACGCTGCATTTTGAAACTTAAATTCATGGTAAACAACAAAAATAAGATGTAATTAAAAAATATCCCTCCTATAATATAAAAAAACATTCTAGTTCTCCATCACTCTTTGGTCAAAGGAAAATATTTGCACTTAAATACATGATTTTGTTGAATAGCATTCAACACCTTTAAATCCCCATTTGAGTCCCACTCTGAAGGCTCCTATTACCGGTGCATAACAAAATGAACCCTTTTTTTACTTTGCCTCCTCAACTATCAGATTCCTCGCATTGCACCCTCAACTATGTGATTAATTTCACATTGCCCCAATTATTAACGTCTGCTACATGTTTAACGGAAAGTTATTTCATTTTGGCTCTTAAACTATATAATTTTTTTCACTTTACTCTGACACGCTAACGATTTTCTTCCAAAAATATATCAGACATTTGTAATTGGGGCAATGTGAAACAAAAGTGTTAGTTTAAAGTGAAATGTGAGAAATCTGGTAGTTGATAGGGCAAAGTGAAAAAAGGGTGATAATTCAGCGAATGTTAGTTTAATTTACCCATAACAAAATATAGTTTGCTCTACTAAAAATTAAAAAAAATTCGACGGTTTAGTTTGATGGATACTAACCCTTAGAAGTTGAGACAAGCCTCCTTGGGACAATACTTGAGATAGTTGGGAAGTGCACCGTGGACTAAAATTTGTTGCCTCTGATCCCTATCAGTTTGTAGAATGGAAAAAAACAAAAAGTTTTTACAATCAAACTACAAGAGTAAATGAAAGCATTACAAGTAATAGATTGATAACTTTACAAGTGAGTTGTAGTTCACTGGCGGTGGAAAGTGGGTGTATGAATTTGTGCAATTGTTCACAAGGTGCGATACACGAAATTGAGCAGCTGGTGTCGATAAAGGCTTCTTTTTTCTTTTTGAAGTTTTTTCCAAGAAACTCTTTGGTCGAGTGTTAACACGATATATTGGCTCTTTCCTCTTTAAACCCATCACTTTTGCAACATTTGCACTATCTACAAAGACTTCAACACCGTTACTACCTTCTTGTGCATTTTCAGCGTGGGTTGAAGAAGCTACAGGAACATCTTCCTTGTCTTTATTTATATCTATAGGAGTCATGACAGTAGTATCTTTTGTCCATCTTTTCATAATGTAGTTGCTAGGGATTGTCTCTTTTACATCCATGACATCCAAAATTTTTAATGCATGGCCACAAAGCATTCGAAGATGCTGAAATAGCTGACAACTACAAAAAACCATTGTCTCATATGATTTTAAAATAACTGTATGCTGCCTCGTACTTCCACGAGTGCCAACCTTATGTCTATAAAACATTTCACCTTCATTGTATTACTTGATAGTAATAAATAATGATATCTCCAATAGGTCTTGAAACATATCAAATACGGCCGACGCATAAACATCTCTCGCATGCCGTAGTAATGGAAAATCAACCTTTAGAATTTGGAGTCGTTGTGTCATGTCATAAAGTGTGTTCGATTCATTGTAGCAAATCCAAATCAGACTTTAAATACTCCCCAAGGGATCAATTGAAACTCTCACTTGGTCGTGTACTTCTCATGCGAGCTAAAAAATAGTGTCTTCCATATGCAATTTTGACCATTTACCTCTCAAATCAAATGTCTACTTCAAATATTCATTCTCTCTGAGATTATACTTTTCAAGCATGGCATCCTAAGCATTTAAAAAATTCTGCTCACCCTTGTAATGGTGCAAAAGCTTACCAAAATCATTGCTAAAAAATTCTTGACCTCGAAAGACATGGTTAACATGTATACAAACATTTTTTTTCTAAATGTCATATACATAACCGATAATATGACTCTAGCATTACTAGTGAAATTGCCTTAGCTATTGCGAGATCTTAATTTGTGATGATTGACTTTGGTTTTTTTTCTGTACATAGCTCTTAAGAATATGTTAACTATGATTAAGTACTTCAGTTAATTAAAAATAATCTTGTCCATTGTAATTTTTTTTTTTGTCACTTATCAGATAGACCATTGAGGGAAATTGGAGGGAGGGGGTATAATAGAGGGGATTTGAATCCCTTTTACCATTGTTGTAATACTCTAAAAAATGATAAAAATAATTATCATAATCTTGGTAAAAAAATTTACAAATATGCTAAAAACACCAACAAATTAGTAAATTCTTTTGGACAAAAAAAATGGTAAAAATAGTAAGAATACATGTGGTAAAAATATTCACAACAGTGATAAAAATACCCATAAATATAATAAATCATCTACAAAAATGATAAAATTTTGATTATAAAATGATTCATAAAAATTATAAAAACACCTATTAAAATTATAAAAATTAATGGAGAGAAATAAATGCTTGCAATGACCTGCGGGCAATCATTCAACCTAGAAAATGATGTAGTCCATTAAAATAAACAACACACATGTCAGACTTGCATTTATTTCTACAATATTGCTAAACTAATCAAGTAATGTACCATGTCTGACAATACCAACTGACATAGCGCTATGGACCCATTTCAAATTATAAAAAAGAGATGCATTTCCTTGATCAATTGCATTTACTTTTCATTTCTATTTTCTACTCATCTTGTAGACCCAATTCCTACTCATTTACTGGTTGTTGAACGTTGTCTTCATCAAATAAAAACTCCTATTTTGTCGAGACTAAAGTTAATGATCATTGTTAACACAAATAACACTCTTTTTCATCGAGACCCATCAACAACAAGAACACTTCTTCATTGCAAGATCTATCGGCAACAAGAATACTTTATCATTGCAAAACCCATCAGTAATACATTATAAAAAACTATTATCAGGTACATTATGGTCATAATTTTTTATTTTTTTATTTTGCTAGAATTGAGTTATTTACCCACATAAATTTTCATTATATAATAAATTGAGTTTTATTTCTATTGTATTGTGTACCTAAACAGTGTTCACTGAATGGAGTTCTCTCTTTTTTAATATTATCTTTAAATCATTTGATAATATGGACATTTAGCATTTTTTTTGAACCTAACCAGTCTGCTAAATGATTATGTTTTTTTTAGACATTTAGAATTATGTTTTTTCTGATGGTTATTTGCTACTTAATTATATCTTCATTCACTTGGAAGAGATATGGAAGAAGAGGTATAAGTGGTTCTGCAAGTATGGAATTGAGTGAGGAGAATGATGATGTTGAAATAGAGAATTCAAGAAATGAGGTAGATCACACTTTGAAACTTCTAGTTCACCATGCCAAAATTTTCAAAAACAGTAAACTACAAAATTATTGAAAATTTAGATTGAGAAATATATATCATAAATAGTAAATTCAAAAAATATGAATTTTAATAGAATAAAACTCATAGTTCATTGTCCAAAAATTTTATAAACAGTGAACTATAAAAACATTGAAATTTTGAATTGAGTAATATAAATCAAAGGCAGCAAAAAAAAAAAAGCATAAATAGTAAACTCCAAAAATAGTGAAGTTTAATATAATAAAATTCATAGTTCATAAAACTTTCATAAATAGTGAACTTTATTCCTAATCAACTGTGAATTCAAATATAACAAACTAAACATAGTGAACAACCATCACCGCAGCCACCATCATCCATAACCACCACCGTACAATTGTGTGTTGAACTTTCTATTGGAAGAGAATTACTTGTTATCGGCGTTTGAGCTTCTTCATGAGCTCCTCGACAACGGACGTGTCGCTTACACCATTCACCACAAGGAATTCTTCTTCGATCACTCTCACTTCTCTCCCGACCAGATCTCTTGCTTATATTCTCTCCGGGGTTCAGCAACTCTCTGCCCCTCCCCCCCCCCCCCCCCCCAAACCTCTTTCTCTCTCTGTTTGAGCCGGTTGAGTTTTTAGTCATAGACTATATTTGACGTGATGGGAGGATAAATTCAAGGTATACTGGTAATAAATAAAAAAATAATAAAATTTAGATAGCTTAGACTAGAGGACAAAAAATATATCGAATGTGTATTTATCTATACTACTTCTAGAAGGCAGTAAGAGTGAAAAACATTTATATTCCAACTACTTCTAAAAGGCAGTAAAAATGAAAAACTTTTATTTTCCAAATTTATCCTGGATTGATCCTCTATGCCAATTTTCTCCTTTATCAATAACAACTACATGATTTAACCTTTAAATTATTATTATTAGAGGAATAAATGTCAGTAACGAGTTAGAAGTTGAAAGGATTTACTAGTTTTCAATTCAGTCGCATGAGTTTGGAAGTAGAATGGATTTAGGACAATCAAAATCCTACTTCCATTGAAATTTCTCTTTCTTTGTCTTTTAAACGTTTTGTGTGTGTTGCCTTCTCTTCCTCAGATAAGCAAACAAAAAAGAATTTTTTTCCTCCGAGGTAATTTGTATTTCCCCTATTTATATATCTTAGTTTGATGTTTGTTCTTTTAGCTTACCAAATTAAAAACGTACAAATGAGGACTCTATTGTATTTGAATTGAAATTTTTGGCAATTCTGATGTTTGAGGTTACTAATAAAAATTTATTTACTATATCAAAGTTGCACCTAGATCAAACAAAACCTTGGAAATGACGGTTGAATTCTCCAATTGATGCAGTTGCGTTTCATTTTGAGAAGCATCAGAGAGACGTTATCCAGAAAAAGATGAAAATGAGGTATCAATATGTTCATTCAATTTTCTTTTTCTCGAAAGTCATTGAGTTTATTTTTGCTATACCTTGAATCTCACATTTGTTAGGTAAAAAAAACAGTAATACCCAAACAAAACCTTGGAAATTGTGGTTGCATACTCCAGTTGATGCAATTGTGTTTTATTTTGAGAAACATCATGTATCGCAAAGATTAAGATTTTGATATGTTATCGAGAAACTACATCTCTTCTTAATATGAAATAAGTGGTTCATTTATACATCCCCTTATGGAAATTTAATTTGCAAATTTAAAGTATTGATGAGACATTTTCAGGTCATTATTGGGGTATTTTTTTTTTTTGATAATTTGTGAGATCCATTGTATGTTAACGTAGGACCCTAGGTGTAAGATATATTTATCCTTGATTTGTGTTGGTTTTGGGGTGTATTTCGGAACAAGGTATTTTTCAAGTTGAAGACTTTGTTTTTCTGCCTATGGGATTTGTTAGCTAACCTTGTTTTGCTTTGGCTACTGATGCGTGAAACAGTTATAGCACATCTCAAATGTGAACTATGTAAAGATTGAGTAGTTTATGGGATTTTTTTAGGCTTGGCAGCAAGTTCCTTTAAATATTTATCATTTGAAGCATGAAGCATAGCTCCATATAGCAGTCATCCAATTATGTACAAAACAATATGTTCAAACTGCTGCATAGGAATTTTTTGGGAAAACAGTCTAGGAGCTAGCGTCTCGGTGATATTAAAAACAGTCTAGGAACAATGCTTTGGATGTAATGACCAGCATTTGGGCTACTTCTCTGGTAAGATTTAAATTTATGCTTTTTTTTCCTTCTTAGATTTCTGGTATGTTTGCCCATTGATTTTAATAATATATTTGGTTTATTGCTTTTATTAAATTTCATAAAAGATGTTGTAGTCATTTTACATGTTTAACGTGGATGAAACATGTTTTTTTAAAAGGCTATTGCTTTGTTAGTTTCTTTTAAATGCAACTTATTTACATATTTGCAACATTATGTGTTTTATGATATATTTGAAAAATGGAGCATATTATTTGTTTATGATAATGTATAGATTATTATCGCATTTCAATATTATGTGCTTTAGATGAAAGTTTAGATTAGTTGTAATGACATGCTAGGAGGTGCACCGGTACTTAAGAAAGTTTGTAGTAGATAATTATACAAAAATGTAATGACATGATAATTATATTGCATTATTATTCGCATGTAGTAATGAAAACTTGAAGGTAATTCGTGATTAATATGTTCATGACCGACTTCGGTTGACATCAAGGCAAAGAGGTTATTATGTATTGATGATATATGGAAAGGATTTTAACTAAGTGTGAGCTCAGAAAGGGAGATCAGATAAGGAATCTAGAGCTCAGAGGCCCAGAACTCGAGCTCCCTTCAGATGAAAGAGTAAAAGAAATGAGAAAGGAACAGCTGGTTAACATGAGACATCTCTAAAATAACAAAAGGCAGTGATTAAGGCACGAAACTCTCAACCATCCAAGATCTTCTCTCCAAAATTAAGAAAAATCCCGTAGATGAAGGGCAGGAATCTCACTGCAGATTCCTTAGAGATAGGAATCGAACTATAAATACTGGACAGTGCCTCCATAGATAGGGAGAAATCTCAATTGTATGAGAAACACTCTGTAATATATAGCTGC